GAACACAACATTGAGAAGGTTTTCAGGTTGGGCTGGTACAACAAAGACAGAGACCGCCTTGTAAAGATAGTGTTTGCAAACGTGTTTGCAAAAAACTGGTAGTCCTCCAGAGGGACAGGACGAAGGAGGAAAGAGCCATGCTGACAGAGGCAAGGAAGACACGCAAGTAGAGAGGAGTAAACCAGGAAATCACAGCCCCCAACACAACAGTCCTAGAGATAAGGGGTAAACCCATAAACCAGCATCCCAGCAACACCAGAGGGGAGGGCCACACCACCACCCCCCCCCCTCTACATAGAAACCCTCCCTTCCGCTCACCCCTACCTGCCCCGACTCAAATGCTCACTCAACCCTTTCCTCCCCTCACCCATTCCGACCCAGTCATCCCTCCCCAATTCCCACCATGTCCCCCTTCCCTCCTTTTCCCCCTTGTATCACCCCTCCCCCTTCATCCCATACCCACTCTCTCCCTCCTCCCCTCTCACCCCATATCCCCCATGTCACTCATACCTCCTTACCCCATACCCTACCTGTCCCTCCTTCCCTTGAACCCCCACCCCGATCCCAGAATCCACTGAGACCCTGTTAACCATCTCACGGATCTTCACACCTATTGAACAGCTTCCTCCATCAGCAGAACGCTCACCAAAAAGAGGACAAGAGGATGAACAAAGAAAGTGAGCTTCAAGGCAATGTACACTAACATAGATGGGATTACGAATAAAACAAGTAAACTTGGAGAATGGGTACTAGAAGAAAACCCAGACATAATAGCACTCACAGAAACAAAGCTAACGAAACCCAAAACAAACGCAGTGTTTCCACAGGACAACTGTGTAGTGACGAAAGTGAGAGATGGAAGAAGAGGAGGTGGTGTAGCTCTGCTGTTAAGAAAAGGCTGGAGTTTGGAAGAAATGGTTACTCAGGGCTGTGAGGATTTCAGTGACTACATAACAGCAATATGGAGGAAAAGCAATTGGAGGAATAAATTTAAGTAGTAGTCATATATAACCGCCCACCAAACGACAGAAGACTCAGACAGGAATATGATAGAAACAACATGGCCACCATCACTATAATAGAGAGAGTAGCTTCTGTAGCTAGCAGGAACGGATCCAGACTACTAATCATGTGAGACTTCAACCACGGGAAGATAGATTGGGAGAACAGAGACCCACATGGAGGACCGGACACATGGAGAGCTAAGCTGCTGAACGTGGCAACAAGAAACTTTTTAAGTCAACATGTCAAGGGACCGACAAGAATGAGAAGAGAGGAAGAACCAGCTATGTTTGATCTGATATTTACCGTAAATGAGTCTGATATAAGGGAAGTTAAGTTGGAAGCCCCCTTTGGGAATGAGTGATCACATTGTATCGATCTTTAAGTACCTGGTAGAGCTAGGAATTATCTCACCAAAAAATGAACTTGGAAACAAAGGGCTGGCGTACCGAAAGGGAAATTATGAGATGAGAAAATTCCCAAGGAATATACCATGAGACACAGAACTCGGAACTAAGCCCGTACAAGACATGATGAACTATGTCACCCAAAAGTGTCAGGAGGCAGTAAACAGGTTAATCCCGGCTGACAGGGAAAACAGAGAAGCAAAACAAGAACCCATGGTTTAATAGGGCTTGTTTGAAAACAAAGGAACTGAACAAAAGGGCACGGAGGAACTTCCGAAATAACAGAACACCAGAAAGCAGAGAGAGATACCAGAGAACCAGGAACAAATATGTTAGTGTGAGAAGAGAAGCTGAGAAAAAGTATGAAAATGATATAGCTAATAAAGATAAGATCGAACGAAAGCTACTCCAGTCACATCAGGAGGAAGACAACAGTGAAGGAAAAGGTGATGAAACTTAGAACAGGTGAGGTCAGGTACACAGAGAATGACAATGAGGTGTGTGTAGAACTCAACAAGTGGTTCCAGGAGGTTTTCACAATAGAACATAGAGAGGTCACTGCGCTAGGAGAGGTGCCAGTAAACCAGGCGGCCTTGAAAGGGTTCGAAATTACAAGAGATGAGGTCAAGAGGCACCTGATGGATCTCGACGGGAGAAAGGCTGTTGGTCCAGACGGAATCTCACCATGGGTATTGAAAGAGTGTGCAGGAGCACTTTGCTTGCTACTCTCCATAGTGTATAGTAGGTCACTGGAAACGGGAAACCTACCAAAAGTATGGAAGACGGCTAATGTAGTCCCAATATACAAAAAGGGCGACAGGCAAGAGGCACTGAACTACAGGCCAGTGTCCTTAACTTGTATACCATGCAAGGTGATGGAGACGCTCTTGCTCTTAAAGACGATTGTGAGAAAATACCTAGTAACACATCGCTAGTAGTAACCTAGAGTAACCTAGTATACCTAGTAAAACACAAGGAGTCATTCAGAATCTTGTACACCACATATGTAAGACCAATCCTGGAGTATGCGGCCCCAGCATGGAGCCCGTACCTTGTCAAGCACAAGACGAAGCTGGAAAAAGTCCATAGGTATGCCACTAGACTATTCCCAGAACTAAGAGGCATGAGTTACGAGGAAAGGCTGCGGGAAAAGCACCTTACGACACTGGAAGACAGAAGAGTAAAGGGAGACATGATCACAACCTACAAATTCCTCAGGGGAATCGACCGGGCAAACAAGGATAAACTATTCAACACTGGTGGGACGCGAACAAGGGGACACAGGTGGAAACTGAGTACCAACATGAGCCACAGGGACGTTAGAAGGAACTTTTTCAGTGTCAGAGTAGTTAACGGATGGAATGCATTAGGAAATAATGTGGTGGAGGCTGACTCCATACACAGTTTCAAATGTAGATATGATAGAGCCCAATAGGCTCTGGAATCTGTACACCTGTTGATTGTCAGTTGAGAGGCGGGACCAAACAGCCAATGCTCTAACCCCGCAAGGACAAACAGGTAAGTACATCTGGAGAGAAGGGACTTCGTGACAACCCATCAACATGGGTTCAGGGAGGGTAAATCTTGCCTCACAGGCTTAATAGAATTCTTAGATCAGGTGACAAAGATTAAGCAAGAAAGAAAAGGATGGGCGGACTGCATTTTTTGGACTGTCGGAAAGCCTTTGACCCAGTACCCTTTGAACCAGTACCCTATAAAAGACTGGTACAAAAGTTGGAAAACAGACAGGAGTAACTGGTAGGGCGCTCCAGTGGATAAGGGAGTACCTAAGCAATAGGAAGCAGAAAGTTACGGTAAGGGGTGAGACCTCACATTGTCGTGAAGTCACAAGTAGAGTCCCACAGGGCTCTGTACTCGCACCTATCCTTTTTCTGATATACGTAAATGATCTCCCAGATAGTATAGACTCATTCCTTTCAATGTTTGCTGACGACGCCAAAATTATGAGAAGGATTAAAACAGAGAAGGACAGCTTGAGGCTTCAATAAGACCTGGACAAGCTGCAGGAATGGTCGAACAAATGGTTGTTAGAGTTTAATCCCAAGCAAATGTAATGCAATGAAGATAGGTGTAGGGCGCAGAAGACCAGATACACGGTATCATCTGGGATATGAAATACTTCAAGAGTCAAAGAGAGAGAAAGATCTGGGGGTTGATATCACGCCAGACCTGTCCCCTGAAGCTCATATCAAGAGGATAACATCAGCGTCTTATGACAGGTTGGCTAACATAAGAACGGCCTTTAGAAACTTGTGTAAGGAATCTATCAGACCTTTTTATATCACATATGTCAGACCTATCCTGGAGTATGTAGCTCCAGCATGGAATCCATATCTAGTCAAGCATAAGACTAAACTGGAAAAGGTACAAAGGTTTGCCACCAGACTAGTACCCGAACTGATGGGTATGAGCTACGAGCAGAGACTACGGGAATTAAACCTCACGTCACTGGGAGACAGAATAGTTAGAGGGACCATGATCACCACATACAAGATTCTCAGAAGAATTGATAAGGAAGATAGACAGACTATTTATCACAAGGGGCACACGCATTAGGTTACACAGGTGGAAAATAAGTGCCCAAATGAGCCATAGAGATATTAGAAAGAATTTTTTTAGTGTCGGAGTAGTTGACAAATGGAATGCATTAGGAAGTGATGTAGTGGAGGCTGACCCCATACATAGTTTCAAGTCTACATATGATAAAGCCCAATTGGTTCAGAAACCTGTATATCTGTTGATTGACGGTCGAGAGGCGGGACCAAAGAGCCAGAGCTCAACCCCCGCAAGCACAATTAGGTGAGTACAAACACACACACACACTGGTAAGTGTGTGTGTGTGTGTGTGTTTGGGTTCTAGTAGCTGAGTGGACAGCGGGCGGGACTCGTAATACAGTGGCCTGGGTTCAATTCCCGGGCTAGGCGGACCCAAATGGGCAGAGTTTCTTTCACCCTGATGCCCCCTGTTGTTTATTAGTAAATAGGTACCTGAGAGTTAGACAGCTAGACAGCTATTACGGAGCTGCTTTCTGAGGAAGGGGTGTGTGTGTGTGTGGAAAAAATAGTTAGTTAGTAGTTAGTAACAGTTGATTGACAGTTGAGAGTCGGACCGAAAGAGCAAAACTCAACCCACGCAAACACAACTAGGTAAATACAACTAGGTGAGTACACACACCCACAGCTACGAGGAAAGGCTGCGTGAAATGGACCTCACGACAATGGAAGACAGAAGAGTAAGCGGAGACATGATCACTACCTACAAAGTGAACTTCCTCATCAGGTCAGAACCCGTTAAAAAGGGAATATGCTGAAGAAGTTCAGATTGTAGAAAAATATCAAGAATTTTGTTTGGCAACAATAATATTGACGAGTGGAACAGACTGCCGGCCAACGTAATAGAGCCAAACAGTATACCCATAACAGTATTGGTAGACACACTGGGGAGGCGGGGATACTGAGAAGACTCTCTTCTTACTCTTTCTTACTCTTATACGGAAAATGTTCCTGCGTAAATGCCGAAATATTTTGTTAGCTGTAACAGTACACTAAGACTACTTTCTTCCTCTCCAGGTGTGTGGAGGTGACGGAGGGTGGAGGAGGCGAGGGAGGCCACAGAGGAGCAGGAGGAAGGCTCCTGCAGGAGGACCCAATGAAGACAATGGTAGCCGAGGTGCGGGCAGCTTCCTACCACCCAACTCTTCCTCCGGAGATTGCCACAGACGCCGCCATCTATGTTGCTGTGAGTGCTTGTGAGAGAGATATACATAGACAGACAGACAGATAGATAGATAGATAGATAGATAGATAGATAGAACAAAAACGGAAAGACAAGCAGGAGAGAGAGAAAAACCCAAGAAAACTCAAACAAACACAAGTAACTGGGTGTGAAAAGCCACTGTGCGCAACACTAGGGGCTGAGTTGTCTCTATGATTGAATAAGCATCATTAAATTAAACCTGACGCGCAGTGGTCTTCATCGTCAGGTCACAACTAAAAGGTCCAGCGTTCAGTTTCCCCAAAGGACAGAAACGGCTGTTCAAGTTTCATTTCGCCTGATGTCTCTATTCACTGTGGAGTAAATAAATAAAGAAACAGTTCAACAATTGTAAAAGATCACAAGCCTCTCAAGGGATACTTCGCTAAGCCTATGTTCAGACTTCCTTCCGTTAGGTGAAGAGAATAAAACAAATTTATTACCATTCATCGGATATCAACTATCATCCATCGATGACAATATCAATAAGGATATCGTGGAATTCAATCCAAGTGGGAAATTCAGTTCAGACTGTTGTACAAGTGCATCACAGTGCATTATGTAAGACTGTTGTACAAGTGCATCACAGTGCATTATGTAAGACTGTTGTACAAGTGCATCACAGTGCATTATGTAAGACTGTTGTACAAGTGCATCACAGTGCATTATGTAAGACTGTTGTACAAGTGCATCACAGTGAATTATGTAAGACAGTTGTACAAGTGCATCACAGTGCATTATGTAAGACAGTTGTACAAGTGCATCACAGTGCATTATGTAAGACAGTTGTACAAGTGCATCACAGTGCATTATGTAAGACAGTTGTACAAGTGCATCACAGTGAATTATGTAAGACTGTTGTACAAGTGCATCACAGTGAATTATGTAAGACTGTTGTACAAGTGCATCACAGTGAATTATGTAAGACTGTTGTACAAGTGCATCACAGTGCATTATGTAAGACAGTTGTACAAGTGCATCACAGTGAATTATGTAAGACTGTTGTACAAGTGCATCTCAGTGCATTATGTAAGACAGTTGTACAAGTGCATCACAGTGAATTATGTAAGACAGTTGTACAAGTGCATCACAGTGAGTTATGTAAGACAGTTGTACAAGTGCATCACAGTGAGTTATGTAAGACTGTTGTACAAGTGCATCACAGTGCATTATGTAAGACAGTTGTACAAGTGCATCACAGTACATTATGTAAGACTGTTGCACTGTGATGCAACAGCATCACAGTGCATTATGTAAGTAAGACAGTTGTACAAGTGCAGCATATGGCATTATGTAAGAATAGGTTAACACGTACATCACAGTGCATTACACTGGACAGTTGTCCAAGAAAAAATTCCCCATGACATTGTCTTTGTGCAGCTCTGCAGCAAATGTTTGGTTAAGAGTTTGAAGACTATAAGTGATGGGAGTGGCGAGCTGATACACACTCAGTATGCACTGGGAGGCCCTTTGAATCTCAGTGTTTTTTTCTGGAGGGTGACCTTCATGATACGATAAAAGGGACATTTCTCGGTGCTTCAACATGTAGCTTTTTAGCTCCTATTGGGTTATCCTCGTGATTTTATCGTTCAAGTCATACAAGAGCTAATTCCTGAAATTGTCCTCTCCATGCAATAACGTTTGTTTCAAGTGATTTTTAGATATATATGAAATAATTTAGTTAGCTATATCCCGCCAAACATACACCAAAACTTCGACGTTGGTACAACGTTCGAACAAGTTTTAACACCTCCTAACCAGTTATAACAACCAATATAGCAAGTTGTAACAACGTTCTAATACGTCATAAACACGTTAAGCCAAGATGAAACAACTTTATTACAAGTTTATTCAGTTGTACAAGTTCTTTATTCACAGTCTCCGTGGTGTAGTGGTAGGACACTCGCCTGGCGTTCCGCGAGCGCTATGTCATGGGTTCGTATCCTGGCCGGGGAGGATTTACTGGGCGCAATTCCTTAACTGTAGCCTCTGTTTAACGCAACAGTAAAATGTGTACTTGGATGAAAAAACGATTCTTCGCGGCAGGGGATCGTATTCCAGGGACCATAGGATTAAGGACTTGCCCGAAACGCTACGCGTACTAGTGGCTGTACAAGAATGTAACAACTCTTGTATATGTGCATCTCATCTCATCTCAAGTTGTAACAAGCGGAAAATAGAGACAGTTTCGGTTTGTGTTTCCAGCGATCTTTATGTTTTCATCTTCCGACATATTTCACAATATATATTTTTTTCCTCTGTCCTCTGCATATAAACGTACCTTCGGGGTTTTCCTGCTCACGTCTACTCAGGAATATGTCTGCTGAATTAAATGTTTTCCTTCAGGTGATCGTGGTGTTCTACGCAGCCATTATCCTGCTACTGGTGGGAACCAATCTTCACCGTCTCCGGAGGAAACGACGGAACCACTTCCAGCAGACTCTCCAGCAGCAGCAGCAGCACCAGCGGACTCATCACCGGCCCGTGGACACCACCGCCACAGCGCCTGACGCTCACACCTACAGCTTCTTCGGCAGGTGGACCGCGAGCAGCGCCACGACCTCGCTACTCACTCAGAAGGACAGCTGGAGTGACCAAGATGGAGCCGTGGTAGTGTAAGGGGGGGCAGGGGGGAGGGGGGAGAAGGGGATAGAATAAGGTAGTAAATATGGGAAGTGTTGACCGCAAGGTAAATATGGGAAGTGTTGACTACAAGCAAGAAAGTGACGAGCGTGGAAGTGAGAAAAGATGTTTACAATGCCAACTAACCGAGGAGAAAAACACTCCTGCTCACCAGTTTTGAAGCACAGGAAGCTTGCGGTGATTCATGCGTGCATGAAAGCTTTAGTTTTGAAAAAGAACGATGCAGAATATTTATTAGGTTGGTAACAAAATAAACTTTTGATGAAGTGTGATGATGGATGGAAGAGCTTCGTGTTGACGATAATGGGTGACGGTGAGGACCATTACTCAGAGAAAACTATCTAACAGGCTTGTACACGCACAAAACTACAAATTTAAATTTTCTTGCATAATATAAAATAGTTTTTTAGAGATAACTCAGAGTGTAATTAACGCTGATTAGCTAATACGGCAAAACAATATCCCTAGCAGAAAAGCAATTTGTATCACAAGTCAAACTAATGCTGTGAAGTTGGGTTATGCTTACCTCAATGACGTCACTCAGCATACACAAAGGCCACAGAGAGAAATATTATATCACGGGAGATTGAGAGAACAGTGTACCATGCTTGGGTAGGAAGGAGAAAGTAAGGTAATTGTGGAATGAGAGAGCACTAAGCCAGCATGATTATGTAGTATTTAGAGAGGTAGCGAGGGTCAGACTCAGTGCTGGGAGGTAAGCACGGAGCTACAGAACGATGCCCAGCAATTAGACCTTTGGGGAACCAACGTCAACCTTGTAATAAGAATTCAGAATTGAGAATTCCAAGTCAAAATGGAAAATGAAAAGACACCTCGGTGCTTGCTTCATAATGTTGCATTCAACTTATAACAAAGTGATAAAATATAAAGAAGTCTCAAGTACTATTCTTCTACTAATAGTACTAATAGTATTAATAATTCTTTTACTGTGAATCTGAAATTATTACTTTTTAAATGTATAATGTTCCTATATAAATAAATACACGTTATTAATCTCCATTTATAATTAAACAATTAAAAACTACTATTTAATGCGAAGAGATATGCTAGAATTAACTTACTGCAGCGAGTAGTGAGGAAGCAAAGACATATTTAGCTAAAAAAAATAACAAATATAATTTTGGCTACATAAACAGCAATATTTACTGCTTAACGTCGTTTAAACCTAAGGCGGATCTGTGATTTATTGACAATAACCGACGAATACACTTTGGACATCGACAATCTGTTGACGAGGAGAGCGTAAGTAACAGTGTCACGAGGAGAGCGTAAGTAACTGTGTCACGAGGAGAGCGTAAGTAACTGTGTCACGAGGAGAGCGTAAGTAACAGTGTCACGAGGAGAGCGTAAGTAACTGTGTCACGAGGAGAGCGTAAGTAACAGTGTCACGAGGAGAGCGTAAGTAACAGTGTCACGAGGAGAGCGTAAGTAACAGTGTCACGAGGAGAGCGTAAGTAACAGTGTCACGAGGAGAGCGTAAGTAACAGTGTCACGAGGAGAGCGTAAGTAACAGTGTCACGAGGAGAGCGTAAGTAACAGTGTCACGAGGAGAGCGTAAGTAACTGTGTCACGAGGAGAGCGTAAGTAACAGTGTCACGAGGAGAGCGTAAGTAACTGTGTCACGAGGAGAGCGTAAGTAACAGTGTCATGAGGAGAGCGTAAGTAACAGTGTCACGAGGAGAGCGTAAGTAACTGTGTCACGAGGAGAGCGTAAGTAACAGTGTCACGAGGAGAGCGTAAGTAACAGTGTCAGCAATAATCTCGTGATGAAAACAAGGAAGAAACGCTTGACATCGATCCCGCAGTGAAGGTGACCCTGACACAAGCGATATCATCATCAGTACAGACGGGGAAGTAAAGCGACACAGAAAATAATAATGTTGATGTAGTGAGTGGAGCTGATGGCGGTGTATGACACAGACGAACAGAGGCACGAGCGGCTGTGTGTGAAGCACCTGTCAGTGTCCAATCAAGAGAACTGGTTGTCAGGGGGCGTCGAGGATCTAAACAGGATTTATTGCCAAGTTTTCTTAACTCGACAAAGGCGAGGCTGGTGGTGCTGTGCAAGACTCGTGGGTGAAAGCACTGTCAAGTGAATGAACAGATTTACAGAGTGCAAGCTTTCCTTCATACTAGAATTCAGGTCTATCGTTTGACAAGGTACTTAAGGTCACCAGAAAAGCTTAATAACTAACCGCGAAACATCTTTTATATCTTAAACATAATTCAGGATTAAAGTAAAACTTTCAGTGTATATACACCGAGAAACTGGGTTTTACTACTTAATGAATATAACAAAATTGCGAGAAAGAGAATACTTGTATTCCTTGACTGAATACTTCAAAAAAAGAATAATAATCCTCGTAACACTAGGCTAGCCATGGTTCACGAACACATCTTCAGGGATGCACAGTTACGTCGTAGACTCTTCAGCTCACACGAACACATCTTCAGGGATGCACAGTTACGTCGTAGACTCTTCAGCTCACACGAACACATCTTCAGGGATGCACAGTTACGTCGTAGACTCTTCAGCTCACACGAACACATCTTCAGGGATGCACAGTTACGTCGTAGACTCTTCAGCTCACACGAACACATCTTCAGGGATGCACAGTTACGTCGTAGACTCTTCAGCTCACACGAACACATCTTCAGGGATGCACAGTTACGTCATAGACTCTTCAGCTCACACGAACACATATCCACGAACACATGCCAAACAGCATGTTTACTCACCAGGAATAAAACTCCAAGTTACATTTTAGTCATTTTAGCCAACTGCAACACCTCTTCAGTGAGGTATAAGGGGCACATGCGACCAGAACTAATGAAAACTCGTTCCTCATGCACGTACCCAATAAATATAAAATAATGGTATATTGGAGGAACTTTTGGAACGTGCGTTAATATAAATATTAATATTTTCTCTCTTATTTAATATGAAAGTTTTAAAAGTAATTATTTGCTTCCTAGTAAACTAACAGAATACAAATTCCCATAATCCAATATGCACTAATGAAAACGTTCATCAATACAAATATAAATGAGCTACTCTCTACCCTGCGCTTGGGAACAAACAAGTAGAAATTGTAAGTATCTCGGCAGTGCTTGTGGAGAATAAAACCGAGAATAAAAGTGAACCACAGTGCCTCCGTCTGACCCGGGGTGATGAAGCCCGGTCACACCTCACCAACGGAACACTGTGCTTGCTGGGGTGAGGCTTTAGTCTTCTGCTTGTATACAGTAGACTCTAAGAATATAGAGCTTTCTTGAATACACAGGGAGTAATCACACTATCGTGATGTATCAATGAGGAAATCCGTAGGAGCCGTGATGAGGGTTTGAACTTATGCGTAGGACGTTCCCAGGTGCACACGCTCTAGACCACTATGCCACGTCGTGGTCAAAAGGGATTGCTGAGCTTTATTGAACTCGCGCGTGGGCGAGTCTGTGTGTATTTGGGGGTTAGTGTTGAGGTTGGAAAGTTTGGGATAAGTAATGAGAGTTAGGTATAAGGCAGATAGTTAGGAATGAAGGTGGAGAGTTAGGTATGAGGCAGAGTGTTAGGTATGAGGGTGGAGAGTTAGGTATGAGGGTGGAGAGTTAGGTATGAGGTTGAGTGTCAGGTATGTGGGTGGAGAGCTAGGTATGAGGCAGGGTGTTAGGTATGAGGGTGGAGCGTTAGGTATGAGGTGGAGTGTCAGGTATGAGAGTGGAGAGTTAGGTATGAGGTGGAGTGTCAGGTATGAGAGTGGAGAGTTAGGTATGAGGCGGAGTGTCAGGTATAAGGGTAGAGAGTTAGGTATGAGGAGGAGTGTCAGGTATGAGAGTGGAGAGTTAGGTATGAGGCAGAGTGTTAGGTATGAGGGTAGAGAGTTAGGTATGAGGCGGAGTGTTAGGTATGAGGGTGGAGAGTTAGGTATGAGGCGGAGTGTCAGGTATGAGGGTGGAGAGTTAGGTATGAGGCAGAGTGTTAGGTATGAGGGTGGAGAGTTAGGTATGAGGCGGAGTGTCAGGTATGAGGGTGGAGAGTTAGGTATGAGGCGGAGTGTCAAGTATGAGGGTGGAGCGTTAGGTATGTGGGCTGCTAAATATTTTGTCCCCACTACTGAGGTAAACACTTGTGGCCGAGGTAAACAAACACGCCTCAGCGCTCTTGGACTCTTGTCTCCACGGCAAAATATTTTTATATCGCTACTGTGTATCAACGTCTGATCATATAGTAATGTCTATACTGTTAATACATTAATATTATTACATACTGTCCAGAGATGCAGTTACTCCAACACAGAATGTGAAATAATGTTATTTGCCCGACCATGAGTTGAGGAACTAAACGTCAGTAAGTTATAATTACGTCTGAGGACTGCAGGATGCAGACTGAATTGACAATGAGGTTATGTTGCCATCAGTTGTGTGAACAAATACATAATGTGAAAGGTGTACCTATTATTTAACAAAATATCTGTATTGTATATAGGGAAATTCTTAAACTTATCAACTGGGGGAAGATATTTAAGTAAATTATCATTTAAGCCAGACATTGTTTATTTACCCTGTTGCTTAAATTATGTATTTGTAAACAATTCCAAAGGGATGGACATGGCTGTTTAATTTTTCAACTTTCAGGATGAATGCTTCTCCCTAACAGGAAGAAAGGAGTTACAATCTTTTTTTTCTTTTATATATAAAATTCGAGAATTACGTATGATTCTAACCACGCTTCATTCATTAACAAACTTACCACATAATCATATTTATGTTTCTCTCATACACTACTGCATCATCTCTTAACTGATTAAGTGTAGTGCACTTTATACATCTATTGCTTTATTCAAAGTTTCGTGTTAGATAAGCACTACAGTGAGAACTTTGTATCTTTTAGATATATCATCTCTAAGTGCAGTAAGAAACAATTAAGCTCCTTATAATTTAAAATTAACTTTACCCTC